TGTGTGCCTCACAACTCTCATCGTTTAGAGCTTCATGAATAAAGATGATCATATTACACTATAACACCTAATCAGACCTGAAGTGAAGCCAGCAGAGAAGGTGCACTTTTAACGACGTCGAAGTCGCTTTCTGTGTGGGAATGCACTTTTTTTGTGGATGATGGAGCAATCGGTTGAACGAAGTTGGGACTGCCACTTTGCAGATCCTTCTCATTCTTTTGTTCTTTAATGGGAATTCTGAACACTGGTGAGCCCTCAAAAGCCAGCCTTCAACGCTGGTATGCCTTCAGAAGTCAACTTCCTAGAGCAAATATTAGGTCGGTCCATAAGTAATGGGGTTGTTTATCTGAATTTGAGTTTTACGAAAAAGTTGAGATGTTTTCTAGCGCCTTTAGACCGTTCGAGAACTCTTTGCTCTACGAGTGGATTTGCACCTTCGCTCGAAATTCCTTCAATTTCTGCCATTTTTTGAATGGTAAAACTGTATTAAACAGATTGACAAAAGGGTGCATTTCCGACATCCTCCCAGTTCCCGTTGAATCAAAAAGCTGAAGGCGCAGAAGCTCGCTTGTGAAGAGCATGGCCAAAAGGCAATGCCCCTTTAGAGCGTTCAGAGTCAGTTCAAACGATCCTGAGATTTCAAGTTCAACGTCGCAGACAAGCATCGCAAAGATATTTAGCTGAAAAGGTGACTGGGCCTTTCTCTTATATGTAGAAAAACTGCAAGCACGCTACACAGCTTTGAGATGGTGGCTAATTAAAATTACCTTTTTTATGTTATCTGACTGCATTAACGAGAAAAATCATTCAGGAATGAAAAAGGTGCAAACGCTGGAATGTTGTGAAAAGCTCTTTCGACTCTACTTATGACTATTACTTTCGAGCTTTGGCTATGAATTTTCAGGAGTACTCACTACTCAGGAAGAAGGAACACATAGAAAGTCCACCAGAATCATTCCTGGTATGTACTTTTCAGAATCCAACTCATTCCGTGGGATAAACATCAAAGAAGTACGTGCAGGAGGCGATAATTGAAAATCATGAAAACAAACGGCTGAGCAAGACATTCTCGCCTTTGTCTATTGGGTGTTCCCATTAGATATTTAAAGAAAAATTAATAATAAAGTCAAGGAACTCAACATTTTCAAATAAACCCTATTTAAGGGAAAACAAGAAAAACAACGTCAGAACATATCTGACTCATACCCTCATGCATAACTCCTTGAGATCTTTGACACGAAGAAAGCGCTGGATGGGGAGGGGGAGGAGACAAACGAACCCCCGGGACCTGGCACATGGCGAAAATTCTTCGTATCGGCTTCTTCAGTGCTCAGAAGTAAAAAGGCAGTTCTTGTATAGACGTTGTTGATGACGACTTGCAACACTAACACACTGATTATGACGTGCATTGACTCCAATGAAGTCTAGACTTATTCAGCCTGAATAATAGCGCGTATGCAAAATATTTTTGCTTAGAATTAGTTGCTACACATAGCTCACCGATACTGAATAATTTATGAACTGGAATGAGCTGCTTACCCGAACGCTCACTTGGTGCTAATGCAATATAGGGCAAGAGAAGTTTCGGTTGTCAACGACGAATTATTTTTGAAATTAAAATTGACGACAAAAAATTCCCATTCTGCTGTTCAAACTCACATTATCGTGTTCAAAACAGCAGATTCAAGCTGGTCAATAACATTATGTACTCGAGTCGTTTCCACCATGGCACTGTCGAATTTGAGATCTGAACATGTAGATCATCATAATTTGAAATTACTTATGATTACAATTTTTTGGAAGAAGTCTGGCTCGGTGGGGGCACTGACAGGTATTCAGCAAAGCTTGTACAGGGCACTTTGTGAACACCTGTGCATTTCCGTTACGAAAGTGGCTCACTTGTACCACTTCGTGGCATCACAGGGTTTTGCAGGCTTCACAAGTGACGCTCTAGTCAACACAAAAAAACGAAATAGCAAAAAGGCTGTAAATATACAAAATGCCCCATCCCCTCCAGCCTTCTCCCACCTCCAGCGTCCAATTCTTTCTAAAATCAAGGATTTGTTAGCAAAAGTTGACCAATAGCAACGGAAATAAGTAATTAGGTCGCTCCTAAGTAGTTTCCAACATTACAAAAAAAGCAAAAAGACACCAAAATCAAATGCGAAAAATTTGAAAAAAAATCGTAAGGACTGAAAGGAATTGCAAAAACCCCTTGTAATTTTTTGCTTTCTTTTGCCGAAGGCGGGTCCAGGTCGACGAGAAAGTGCCGACAGTAGGCCCCATAATGGTCAAACAAGTTTCGAGAAATTCTTGGTATCACTGCTACACTATGAAACCTTTTTGCGACGAATTTTGGAGCTTTTCATTTTTTTAGGCCCCGTTCAGCTCAAGGAAGGAGGTGGCATGTTCTGAGCGTGCTGGTTTCTCTTACTAGTTCTTGTTAACTTACACACGTACCCTGGTGAGGCCTGTAGACTCTTGTCAAAAGTGAATGAAGCTCGTGCAATTGCAAAGCCTTTCAAGAGTTTACAGAAGGCACCGCCAGGGATCGATGGGAATCTGCAAGTTTAATCCACCAGGCCCGAATGCACCTTTTTTACAAAACAAGATGAACATGGAGGTCCAGAACAGCTTTATACTAGTATACAAAACAAGGGAACAATAGGCCGGTATTGATTTTCACAAGCTCTCAGGGGGAGGAACAATAGGTCGGTATCGTTTTTCACAACTCCGCCGGCTGGCTAGAAGGTGTCCACCGACCACGAATGCCCACAAATATTACCGATTATTATTATTATTCTGTCTTCCAACTTCAGTAAGTTCCTTCTCCTAAGCCTCGATCGACTATGCTCAGAGTTTAGATGGAAAGAAGAACGGAAAAAAGCTACTGTCAAAAAAAGAATGAAGAAGCAATACGTATTTATCCTGCAGAGCGAGAAAAAGTCGGACTCGTTCAGCAAAAGCAGCATAGCTATGACTAGAGGAATGTTTTTCATGGCTACATATGAGATGATTTGATTAGGGAAATTTGATATTCAGTGCTTCTTTAATTGGCTTCGTATCTTTCTTCTTATAAGTTATTTACTGGAAGCCGAGCAAAATACTGTAGAGCGACCTGTGTTGTGCATCCCTTTAGACTACAAAAAATAAGTGGGGAGGAAATGAGGAAAAAGTCGTGGAGGCTTTACAAAGCATATTTGACCATCCGGTTTACTCTCCAATTCAAAAGAAAAGGTACGAAAAAAGAGCGCAGGTTGGCTAGGCGGGGGAGCATTGTGAAATTTCGCTTCTTCCCATTGTCGTGCTGACTGCCTCACAGTAGTTGCCTGGTAACAAGGTGCGACAAGGTTAGTATCACTCCATGGCTTCACAAGATTTCTCAGATCTCTACGTGATGGCTCGACACGACCATGAAAAACGGTAAAAGTGCAAAATGCCCCCCTCCAGCCGAACTGCACCGAAAAATAGAGGAAGAGCATCTCAAGAAGGCGCCCGCACTAGCAAAACAATTTACATATAAAGCCTTGTCGATAATAATTTCACCTAATTAATGAGAGCTGGCGGCTTCAGAAAGTCGTTAACGGACTAGACCCAATGAAAACACTGATAACTGAGCAAATATTGGCGCTTATTGCATAGCGTTCAACTAAACAAAGCGTTTCAGCGTCATTATTCACAGTGGAACACGAAAAAAGGGTCACGATTGTGCATGCACACCATGGCAAGTAGGAAACAGCACGGAAATTTCCTGAAAATTGCCGGAACATTTCTTTTCTCCCCATTCATCTACTGAAAGTGCAGGACCGCCTCACAAGGTTGCCACTTCGAAATTTTTTGCTTTTTATGTTCAAAAGAGAGCTCTTGGAGCGCTTTTTGTCACATTCATATAATTCAGAGGTATTCCCCGCAATGCTCTCGAGTGAATGGCCATTCTGTCTCACTTATCTCTTCAACGTAATAAACAAATAAACAAACAAATGAATAGATAAACACTTTGCTAGAGATTTACTGTGTAGCCCACGAATTTAGCAGCTCGCAATGCGCAGTACAGGACAGGCTCAATTCTTGAGGTTCTTGTCCAAACCCAAGACGTACACCCTAACTGGTTGTACGTCTTGGGTTTAAACATCCAGTCGACTCTTACCATAGAGTTCCACGAGGGAATTCCCGCTCCGTGCGCCATGAGTACGTGCTATAAACCTTTTTCCTTTAATAAATACTTATGAGTTCTTCGTCACTATCCAAACAAGTCTCTAGCAGGTTTTGTAGTGAACAGGGGCCGTATTCTGGGAATAAGAGCAGACTGGTAAATGACAGGATCTAGATGATTTTCTAAAAAGATTTTGAAAACAACTACCTTTGACACTTTGCACCAGCTGCAAACTAGGCAGAATGACATGATTTGTCTTGAATTGCGGATGCTTGAAGAGATCTCTCATCGACTCGGAGACCATTTCCAACGCTGCATGAACGCTGACGCACATTGACTCGCCATCTGAAAAAACACTCCATTAAAAATGTTCAGCTATTTCGAAAATATAAACATGAAAACACACAAATCCCAGGAATCACAGGGAGAAAGAAAAGACCTTTCAAGTGATGATACATAACAAAACCAGCGGGAGAGGCCTGAGGAAGGGCTAAGGCTCGAAACATTTTCACATGAACTGTAAGAGTCCGGGATAATGTTGGACCTTACGACACTATCAGGAATGAAGCCCTCAGAATTTCGTCATGAAAAGCCAGTCTTTTAATATAAGGCTACCCATTGGAAATGCAAGGATCGAAAACGTCATCGTCTTCTCGCTAACTTCCTCATGTTTCTTCTTGGAACAAATTCAATTAAACGAGTCCATCTTGTCTAGCTTCGAAAGAACTCCAATCGACAATGTGCCAAATAAGGCCTCCCGAAGCGTAAATTAGAACACTTCTTAGCGCTCTTCGGCTTGAGAGGAGCATTTTGCACTTTCGTTAGTTCCTTTTGCTAGCCTATGTTAACTACCAAGTTACACTTTGGTGAGACCTGCAAACTCTGTGAGGCTACGGAAATGGTATAAGTGAGCCACTTTGATAACGGGAGATCGCAGCTCTTTACAGGGTGCCTAAGCTAGCTTCGCTTCGTACTATTTGGTGCCCTAACAAGCCGTACGCCCTTTTTTCGAGCCTGCTCTCCCAAAATTAGTAAAGCAAACACTGTCATAAGTAAACCGCTGGAATTCACACACATAATCTACATTTCCGTGATAAATTCGAAAACATGGTTCGCAGAAAAAAAAGTCTGTGTTTCCATTTGACATTAGTGAGCTCGTCAAAGTCACAGCCCACGCCTGCTCGAGAGGTGGATTCAGACCTCACCGATGGTCCATTCAGACCTACGATGGGTACTATACTGCAACTCTCTTCCTTCTAGGCGGGAAGGGTGTGAAAGATTGAAGACGGCGTTTCCACTATGCTCAAGTCGAAGGATAATCTTCATTTTTCAATATGTCAGGAAAATGACCCGAATTTCATCTGCAAACAGGTTGCTAGCACTAGTTGAAAGCTCGCCAAAACGATGAAGGCGGAGGGAAAATTCGATCCGATCCCTACATTTAGGATGCACCGTTTCCCTTAAAGACAAGCTGCATTCTCTCCGCCGCAGACTGTCCTTTCCCTGTCATCTTCGAGTTGAATAGGTTCGCACCTGCAGTAGCGTGCCACTTCCTCCGCTGAAAAGTGCATGGGAACGCAGTTGGGTGAATAGTGCTACACGGGCGCCGTCTCCGCCGGCGGGCAGCCACACGCCTAACCACAGCCAGAGCGCTGCTTGTCAGCACTCTCGCTTCTAATTGTTTCCTACCGCGTGTTCCTTACAAATTCCGATAGTCGACGGAAGTATGTACTGCACCTTGAGGATGACGAGAGCTGAGTCAGGAGACAGCACCCGGGCCTAGGGACTCTTCAGCCCCGTGCTCCTGCACTCTGGGTGGAACAACGACACTGCTTCCGCACCCTATCTCAAATAAAACAGCCCTCAGAGGTGAGTGGGCAGTTTGTCTCGGAGTAGGTTAACAGGACCAAACAAACCTCACATTTTCAGTCGCTTGAAAATCCGCTCTAAATAAAAGTTCAGCCCTTACACAAATAAAACCCCGGAGAATTCGGGACAAGAATGATCCTACAACGAATTCTCTGTGCATGTCCCAGTACCTCTTTCGGTTGGTTCATTTCTCCCAAGTTTATTACCCATTAAAAGCGAGTTTCGTCATCGCGGCGCCATGTATGTAAATAAAAGCAGCACGAAAGCGATGTTTTAATTCTGACTTTTCTTGCTAATACTGTGAGGCTAGCGAAAAACAACTTTTCTCGCTACCTGGAACGATAAAGGTACTTGTGATTGGGCAAATTGCTTTCTTAGAGCATAATAAAAATGTTTTCTTGGAACATAATAAAAGAGTCAAAGTCAAGTGCAAAGACAAAAATACAGGCACGTGGGGACTGTACGATAACCTCACGATCGACAGATATGGTTTGGTTCAGTTTGCCATATACGACTGCGTCTTCTGTGGCACGCCTGGCTCCACCCACTCGGTCAGCATGGACTGTACATTCACCTTTTGACATCAATTGTGATTGTGCCAGCCACAGTGGCTTTCTTTCGCCGGTTGTAAACTAAGGCGTTTTCCATCCGATCACATTCATGTACAGTAGCGAAGAAAAGTCTTCGACAACGTCAAAAATCATTTTCTCGTCGAGTCTTTACCAGGTCCTTTTCGGACTTGAGCACAGAAATATTACAGCGGAATACGAATGATGCCAGTGATAATTAACTTCAAATCGGAAAGAAAGACTTCAGGCACACAAGTAGTGCGTGGAAAACTTTTTTTAGTGGTGGGACCAAGCGGTCAAAATTTTCGGTAATGTAATGAAGTGCCCGCCCCCCCAAACCGAAGCCTGTGTCCACACCAGGGGCATCCCGCGCTGAACAGTCTCCCGCTGGGGAAGGCAGTTAGTTGGTCGCTGAAGCGAGGCGCTGCCCTATTTGCTGTATGTTCGCATGCGCTGGCTGATTAGCGTTGGGAAGCTCCCTTTTGCGGAGAGGAGGAGAGGGGGGTCTTTTATTTCCAAGTTTTTTCTTCAACTCCGCATGTATGTGGCATGTCTCTATTTCCCAAGATTGGTCAAGTGCTCATCCATTCTAGTCATGCTGCTGACTTTACATTTGCGGCTCCCTTATCGCATTCCCTCTTAACGTTAAGATTCCTTGACCTCGACGAGGCCTAAGACGTTGAACAGGCGCATTAGTCAGGGACCGTAATTCATGACACCGTGTGACAGACTTTGAGGTTAGAGTAGCCCGTAAAGGCGTCAACCTTGAACAAACCCTTAATGCGATTTTGTGCGATTTCAAACAAGTTTTCAACCAGTGTAAACAACAACCGTTTGACAGGCGACACCTAAGGTGACCTTTCTAGAGGATAAAGTGCTAAAAACTGGTTCACTTTTCCTCTTCAATCATCCGCATTGGACACCTCTTGGACCCCATGAATGAGATTTACCTCTCAATTTTAAAGACACATTCTATCAAAAAAAGCAGGCCAGGTGCAGGACTCCTTCACTACATTCTGAACCCGCCACAACTAAGGATTCACAGAGTCGTGTTAGCAACCTCTGCGTGTTAATCTGAATTCAAACATAAGAGGTAAATAAAATCGAAGAACTAGCAATTGTGGGCGCAGACTCGTTTGGCGGGGGGCGATTCACAGCGCACTCTCGCTACTCCCCATCATTGTAGAGCCAAAGTGGTAGATCTAATGGAATTCTCCCACGAAGCCGGTAATGCCAGCCAAAGTTTGCAGGGATCACTTGTCAACTCTCGTAGAGAAAACCTGCCAACATTCGTAAAGCAACAACAGGATGGGAAGTGACGAAAGTGGAGAACTCGTCTTCTGCTCTGGGTCTCCCCCTCCAAGCTTGAACTGCAGCCTACATGACCCGGAACTTTCCTAATCTGGCAGCAGAAAAATTGATATTAAAAACCTTAAAGCGGGACTCATGAGCCAAGTCTCTAGAAATCCTAGAGAGCCCTTTTGCTCACTTCTCGATTCAAATTCTCGACCACAGAGAGTCGAGTGCGTGAACGCGCATCGATTCACTTGCTCTATCTCTGTTGAGAGTCAAGAGGAGGTCAGCCCGTTTTGACGTTGTTCGTAGTTTCCGAAGGTCGGACCTGCCTTTGTGGCCTGCCTCACTGGGTTGTTTCCGTACTAGTGAAGGATTGCAGAATGAGGGGAGCGACGTGATAGCTGGACGCTTTTAAAGCAGCTCCACTCAAAGTCACGAAGTCAAAGTCATCGTGAGGAGAGTCCCATCAGGCCGGTGTGGAAGAGATCGTATCAGCCTCAGAAGAATTTATGTGGCCCCAAGGTAAGAGACCCTCCAGTTGTCACTTTTCTCGCTTCGAGCACAACTTACTCCTTTAGTTGGTGCCGCCGCAGATCCTACCAAAATAATTGGTCTTTCCCAGTAGTTGCTTTGGATAGTTGATTGAAGCGAACACCTGCTCGATGGCACTTTTTCGGGGGGGGGGACTTTTCGGGAGGTGAAAATTCTAGAAAATTAGTAGCGTTTGGTGAAAAATTTGGTGAAACAGTAGTTCACTTGTTAGAGGGAGGTCGCAAGGATGTTTTGGGAGTCGCGCTGATATAGAAAGTTTGAGGGAGTTGTATTAGTTAGCGAAGACATCTCAACCGTCTCGATCCTCTACCGTGATTCCACTTCCACGGGCTTTCAAAAAAGCGAAAGAGCAACGAATGTGAAGCAACTGAAGATAAGACCTTCTAAGAAAAACGCAGAATAACTTTCGCTTCCCTTTTTCTCTTTCTTTTTTCCTACTAGCTCTTCGCATGCCTGCATCCCTTCATTTTCCTTCACAAGTTCTTCTCCTATCTTGGCCCCAACTCACCTGGTACATTTGTGTCCACATCAAGTGCAGCTCGTAGCCTTGAAATGAACATCGAAAAACGTTCAACATCTCGTTTGATTACCGGCGGAATCTGAAAATCATCCGTTAGTCACATGAATAAATATTCTAAGTTTTCCTAGATAGAATGAGCGGTTTCACTATCATCAAATACTAGAGGGCGCAGTTCGGCTTGGGGGGGGGGGAGTGCGATCAATTTGCACTTCCACTACTACCAGTCGTCGTGTTTATTTTTTAAAAAGGGTTGACAGGTATTCTTCACAAAAGTTGAAGTAGTTTCTACAAACTTTCACTGTTATCACTTCCTGGCTTCACATGATTTAACAAATCTCTACCTGATATTCGACACGACAACTGGAACCAACGAAAGTACAGAAATCCCCCACTCCCCCCTCGAAGCCGAACAGAGCCCAACATCGGTATTTCACAGCTCATCTTATATGATGACATCAAATACTTCAGAACAGAAAAACACAGTCCAAAAGTGAGGACAAAAAGGGTCGTTTTCGGAGACGGCTGCGAGGCAGGTTGAAGAGCGGTATAGCTGAATCGTTGGCGAGAAGCTTGAGGAACGAGCTCACCAACGGCTGCTGTTTCGACCAATAGCGAGCGGTTGATAGAGAAATAACCGCAGGTAAAAACATAGCAGCTGGATCCAATCCACGCCTCCTGTCGCCTCCTGTCGACAGCAACTGTATGTGAAGAGCAGGAGATTACGCACGGGGATAGTCCCCGCCAGAAATACTTGGGAAAGCTTCCTCTCTTATATGGAAGGTTCAAATTTCTCCTTCTCTACCCTCTGCTTAATCTACAAGACGTGGTCGACATCTATGTTGGGTGCATACTTACCGATTCATTAAAAGGAAGGAGGTCTTTTATTAGGCTCTTAAGGCTCTACAAGCAAGGTGTTTGTAGATGCTTCGCTGAGTACCTTTCCGTGCCATAAGTAAGTCGAACCGTGCCAAAGAAGACAATACAATGACTGTCTCCGCCTACAGAATTGGCTTTTGAGAACGTAATTAAAAACTCACACGACTATCAAGCCCATAGTCGATGTCGTTCGACGAGCAAACACTACTCGCCGACGACATGCCCTGCAACGATTCACCTCGAGAATCTATTTTGCCCTGAAAAATAAGAAATTAGTATGAAAGCCTCCCCAACCAGGCGTTGAGCACGATTGACGATTGAAAATGTATACGACGAGCTGGACGGAATACACGACAGAAAGGCAATCACTAAAGGTCAACGGGAAACCCAGAAGCTTTACCAGTTACTTCTACAAAAACAGAGCGCAATGAGAGGTTTCGGCTGGATCTCGCTTCGGCTAGAGACTCGATTCCATCAGGACATGCCCTACGTCCGGATTCCATGATGCAGGGAGAAAAGGGAGCTCTCGTATTTGGCACGAAATAAGGAGGGTCGCTTCTAGCGTGGCAAAATGTTGAAACTATTGATTTATCACTACCCAGTATCTCAAAAACTTTTTTGCTGAATTGTTACCTTTAGGAATTACTCCCTCCTTTCGTTCCACACCCCGGCAACGAATACTGCATTTGTATTTGGCGCTGGCGTTATTTGGCGGCAATATGCGCCAATCTGGCCCCCACCTACGTTACCAAAGTCGATAGAGCATGGATACGGGGGTTATTAGATAGCCTTATTACGAATGCGACATTCATTCATGGCGCTGGCGCTAATGTAGGGCACTCTGCTAGGGTCGAGCCTGGTAGGGAGGGAATCACCCTTTCGCTCAGGCTGAGCCTTTGCGGAGCACTAAATGGCGTCAGCGCCAGAATCGAATGTCATATTCCTTATCGAGGTACGGAGTAACTCCTCCAACAAAAAAGATTTTTGAGTTTTTAGAGTACTAATATTTCAAGCGCTAGATAACGCCCGCCCCCGGCTCTGTGGCAGTTTTCTGAGGAAAAACTGGAGACTTTTCGAGTGAAGCTCCGGAAAAGTGGTAGGAGGTTTGGAAAATTGGGGAAGACGGTAAGTATTATCGGGGCTGGGAAAACGGGTTGTACAAGAGGAGGGAATGTTGAGTAGGTGCTGACGTCATTTAGTGCTCTGGTAAGGCAGAGCCCGGGCCAACAACTGAAAAAATATTATTGCGGCTCGGTAAAATTGTTCCAA